GGGCGGGGGGGGGGCAAATGCCCCCCCCCCCCAGCTTGTATGTTAAAAAAGGCCCTGCGCAACAGAATATAAGGGTGTCTGAAATTCAGACACCCTTATATGTAGCTCGCAATATAGAATACAAGGATGTCAAAAATATATACAAGCGTGTCTGAAATTCAGACATTCATATATAGTCCGTAGCGAAAAGAGGTGAAAAGCGCTTGCTCTGACGCGAGTGTCCGGCTAATTCAGACACTCAAATAGCCAACCTCGTTCCCAGGGTCTCTCCTTCTGTCATCTGGGAGAGACCCTGCCTGCGGCTGGTCACGTGCCTCCCAGGTTCTGGGAGGTAAATTAAAATTCTATTATGGGTAGGGTGGTAGTGGAGCGTGTTTGTAGCGTTTAAATATTGAACTTATATAGACTTGCCAAAGAAAGCACGCTTGTCGCAGCGTGGCAACATTAAATCTACAAGGAAATATATATCTCTAGACCGAACAATGGGGTTGTTATTTAATTAGTATTAAAGTCTATCCTGATACTCGGACCAAAAGAATTTATTTATTTATTGATGAGATGTTCATGTGGAATTGCAACGAAATAGCGAGATCCGTTTTGATTTCCGAAATATCGCCAACCCAGTGTAATATCCAGTTTGTTGATTTATATAAAGGCCTTATTAAAAAAACTTAAAGCCCGTTAAAAGACTATAAAATTGGCCCTTGGCATTACTGAAACCAACGATGATGGTATATGTCAAAGTATAACTGTCTGTTGAAAATCTCCGGTATTAAAATCATACACCAAAGATAAGTCAAACGACAATATGTCACTATATTATACAATCAAGTCTTTCAATGAGCACTGTTTAGTAGTGTTCACCACATTTATAAATTTTGTAAACAGCGTTCGTTCTGATATGAATAAGCTTTAATTTTTTGCTTTATATACATTCTTAATAATACAAGTGAGATTTAAATTTTTGCATTGTGAAATAGAATACCGTTATTTTTTAATGGACAGCTTGCGATGTCTATATCAGATCCAAGATTGCTTGTGTCTATACGCATTATCACTATATGACACTACCAAATAAATATAATTAGCAAATGATTAATGAATTAATTTGAGATAAACAGGTGATTCACAATGAAAACTATAAAACTGTTGGTAGAAGTAGAAAACTCGAAAATGTATGTCTATTCGCATGACGCCAATGAGAGGGCCCTGAAGGGGTAAAATGGGAACTGGGATTGACCTATTTTTAGACTGGGAAAATGGGATTTGGGTTGCTGGGACTGGGATTTGGCCACTGGGAATGGGAAATGAAGTCCTCAAAAATGGGAATGGGATTGAGGTAATGCGAGTCGATTCCCAATTTTTCTGCGTTTTGAGTATTTTAAATTACAATTTTGATCCATTTTTGGTGTCTTTGGTGCATGATTTTTGTTGTTAACTATATTATTCACAGCACTACCTGCCAACAGGCATACTCTGGCGCCCGGCATTCTGGGTTTTCTGATTATGCATGTCTCAGAATGCTGCAAATGCCATTTCCGGGATTCAAATTTAAAAATTTTCCGGGCCTTCGGCACGAGCCCCCCCTAATATTTCATAAAGTGTCCGCCACTTGCTTAAAAGGTCTTTAAACTGTTTATTCTACCGATAAATAAAGGGTTTTTTATTAACTGGGATTTCAATAACTAGGGCTGGGATTTCTAATAAAAATCCAACTGGGACTGGGATTTTGCCAAAATTTCAGATGGGAAATGGGATTGGGACCCCCCCTTCAGGACCCTCCAATGACAACGAATCTGACACTGTAAATTTGTGATATACATTATAGTATATTAGCAAAATTTATTATTATAAATAGACCAAGAAAAAGGCTAAAGTCTTACTATAATTAGATGAATTACCGAATACGAATAATGTACTAAATCAAAAATGTTGAAGACAAATCAACGACTGAAATTTCCTCTATGCTTATGGACATTTCTCTGTTCGGCTATTAATTATCAAATGTTTACATTTGCCAATTTTGGGTCCGAGTCCTAAACAATACTGTTTCTTATAAAAGTCTTATAAACAAGACGCGTAGTAACAAGTAAATCGGTGCAAATTGTATAAAGAAAGGACAAATTTAATGGCGTATTTAAAAACAGTACAATAAACGTTTGTTATAACCGCGCTCGAGTGTGAATAGAGCATGCATTGAATAACAGCACGAGACAGCACTACGAGTAACGATTTGCTTGGTTTCTTGCCATGACTGTTAGTAAAAATGTAAGTATGTCCTCGTAGACTCAAAGCAAAGAAAATAAACAAAAATTAGTAAGTATTTTAAACTTAATAATTCGCAAAATGTATGTTTTTAACGAATATTCCACTGGAAGCATGTTGATGTAATTTGATGCTTTCCCCACACCCCCTCAGGCGCTAAATTTTTAACCAGCCGCAGCCAGGGTCTTTTACAAAGAAAGATACTGGGTACGAGGTTGTCAAATAGCTCGCAAAAGAATATCAGTGTGTCTGAAATTCAGACACCCATATAGCTCGCAATATAGTACAAGGGTGTTTGAAATTCAGACACCCATATACATATGTAGCTCGCAATAGATTATAAGAATGTCTACAATTCAGATACCCATATAGCTCGCAATGGATCTAGAATATATACAAGCGTGTCTGAAATTCAGACACCCATATAGCTCGCAAAAAAATATAAGGGTGCATATCTGACATTCAGACACTTATAAAACTCGCAACAGAATGTATAAACTGAGGTGTCTGAAATTCAGACACCCATATAGCTCGCGATATAATACAAGCCAAATTTGCCAAATGCCTTTGTACAAATTGCATACTTACTTCGTACATAAATGGGCCAATTGCGGAATTGCTAAGCATCATGGTAGTTTAGTTACACAGCAGAATTTTCCAGCATGGCGCTTATACTTTTCGAACGAGGGAAAGTGCTAAACACATGCATGAGAATTGCAAGAAAACTTTCATCATTTTCGCTTTGATTAAAGTTTTGACGAAATCTGTACGACTTGTTTCATATTTCTATTGCGTCTTGGGCTTCTACGAGCGAGTGTGGTTGAAATATTCAACATGGCGTACAGAGGCACTGAAGCGGGGAAGGAGTTCGATTCGTAGGAGTCAGGAACAAATTTTTGAATATTTCACAATATAAAGGTGAGTACTGCATTAAATTATTTTCGAGGTAAGCAACACGTTGTGACTTATTGTTTCCCTAAAAATTTCAACGATCGGTTTAATTCTAGCGACTCGAGATACAAAAATGTTTGCACACTTGACCGCTCCAAAACACCACATGTTTGATCGAACGTTCTTCTCACAAAGCAAATCATTGAGGTTGTTTGGCGCGAAAAATAAAAACAGTTACCGTTTGAAATACGGAGCTTTCACATTTCAAAGGTTTTCAAAGATTTAAACTGAAGTACTTTTAAGTACTATTCACTGCTGTTCAAGTGTCTTATTGGAGTTTTTTACTACTACAACATATTTATGTGAGTCAAATTTGAAGCAAACTCGCTTGTTTCGAATATATTTTGGCAAGTTTCGAGTCGTTTGGTTTGCCGTTTGTTTGGATAAATATGGCAAGTGACACGGAAAAAGTGCCTAAAGGTAAAAGTATGGGGGAACGGCCTGTTGTTTATTTATTTATTTATTTAATCTGATTTCGCCCAAAAAAATGTTTTAAGTACTATTTAAAA